GAAGGCTTTATTTTAATAATTATCAGCTACCGAAATCCATATTTTAGTTAACAATGCTTTTCAACACTACATACAAGATCTAAGCCTATTTTAAGTCACTGGGGTATAGATAAGTTGGGTTTTAAAAACATGCATGGAAGGAGGAAATTTACTACAGTAACCACTTAATGTTTTGATAACGTGTGTATCTTGTTTATATCGATATGTAAGTTCCCCCAAGGCATAGTTTTTTTTAGATATGCTAGATTATCTCTGGGTTATAAATAGCTTAAGATTCAGTGTGATAAGCGACTCAAAGCTTCAATGATATTAGCTATACTGTAGCACTTAAGCTGGGTCACTGGACACAACTAAACAAATTAACACACTATACTCATTTAAACCCCGCCTACTTAATGTATAATAATTTATTTTCGGAGCTACAGAGTGTTAAACTTTGAAAAAAGCGAATGATATGATTATTACCACGCTGCAAGCTAATTTTTCAAAGTTTGACACACTGTAGATCCATGACATATTTCTAAATAAACATTTTGCTTATATTCACCCAAAGCATCATACTTTAACTATGTCCCTAACTTTTTTAAACGCCTAGTATAATATGAAGCACTGACTTACCCTACTTTACGTATTCCAAAATTATGTAGAGGGTTAACTGACGAATGTGAAAGCCAGTGGTTTCAGCCTATGGCAAATGATGTGTTTGTAAAAAAAAACTGTTTAGAAGCTATCAAAAAACTCCCTTAAAATCACAAAAATGTATTGATTTTTTTATTAACAAATTGATTTAGCATAGATTGTTTCCAAATTGATGAATTTCAGTCCGGCTCCATATTGATCACTGCTATTGTGACTTCTCGTTGTGGCGTGGTAGGTGGTGGGGTCATCAACAACCGGCTCGAGTATCTCGGGGGGGATGGTGCCGGTGGGTCGTCGTTCCACCTACCCCACAGCCAGATACCCACCGACACCACAGTGACAACGGCCCCCAGCCCCCCTACGGCCAACAGGGCACCATGCTCCTCCCTAAAGAAACAGACCAAATGTTCTAATTGTAATACAGTTTTACCAAACGTACTTGGAAACAAAGATTGTTTAGTACATTGTTTTACATTCAATGGCTACTGATTGGATTATGTTAGACGCTGTAAGGTTTTTTTAGCTTAATAACTAAACGTGGTCTAAAACTTATTTTTTTTTCAATAATTAAAATAACTAAGAACTCTCCGTACTAGATCTAGTACTAATATTCTGCATAATAGAGCCAGAAAATAGTACTTACCAAGCCCTCCTTAGGGCGTCCATTTCAAAAGGAGAAGGATATGCTGGTCTAAGGGATCGGAAGGTTGGAAGTGGAGTAGGCTAACGCTTCTAAATGAAGCTTCTGTGGAACGCTTCTCAGTAGGCTACGCTTCTAAACGAAGCTTCTGTGGAACGCTTCTAAGTGGACTGACGCTTCTAAACGAAGCCTCTGTGGAACGCTTCTAAGTGGACTGACGCTTCTAAACGAAGCCTCTGTGGAACGCTTCTAAGTGGACTGACGCTTCTAAACGAAGCCTCTGTGGAACGCTTCTAAGTGGACTGACGCTTCTAAACGAAGCCTCTGTGGAACGCTTCTAAGTGGACTGACGCTTCTAAACGAAGCCTCTGTGGAACGCTTCTAAGTGGACTGACGCTTCTAAACGAAGCCTCTGTGGAACGCTTCTAAGTGGACTAACGCTTCTAAACGAAGCTTCTTGGATTCTATGCAGAAGTTAAGTGTTCTTGTTATTCAACTAAGGTTGATTATTGTTAGAACAAAAAGTTAAACCTTTTCAGTTGAATTCAGGTTGAACAATAAAATGGTTTCCAGGGTAATGAAATATGTGAATATGTACATTGTAGCCAGGTCAACTATACAATTACAAAATACTTGCTTGGAAATAGTGTGATAAAAATGTATGAAAGCATTTATGGTGGTTGACTTTTTTATAAGACTTTAAGTGAATTTCCCTATAGGGAAGTAGCTATTACCGTAGGTGGCACGGTAAGGCCTAGACCCGGGACCGATTTACTTTTTCATTTTGATGTCCCCAGAGGCCAAAAACACCATTCGTTCAAATTTTATATATGTACATATATATATTTATTTATATATATATTTATTTATATATATATTTATTTATATATATGTGTCCGTTAGCGCGATAACTCGAGCATAAATGATCCGATTTTGATGAAATTTGGTACAAACGTGTAAACCTACGTTTATTCGCACGAGTTTGCGAACCAGCATGATCGGACTATGGGAACGGGGGTTTATGGGGGCTTTTATGGGGTAAAAATGGGGGTTTTTCCATTTTTGACCCAAAAAACATAAAATTTTGCAATTTCTTTTCAAACAATTTTGTAGAGCTTAAAAAAACAAATAATTTTGTATATTGAAGCGTTATAATGCGCCTAATGGTTACAGAGAAAATTCTAAAAAATTGGAAATTTAAAATTCTTATGTTATTCTTATGGAGAATAAGCAAACTGTTGTAGTTTGCTTGTTTATTAACATATTTTGCCCAAATTTGGAAAATATTTTTTTAAATAAAAAAACACTTTTACCCTCCCTGTTGCAGCAAACCTAAGTATGTGTTAAACTGATTCTATTTAAATAGGTAATAAATGTGATATTTTTAAGGAGACAATTCAGTGTAAATCCAATCAGGCAAATGGAAAATCGCTTAGTCTGCAGGTTTGCTGCGGCGGGGGTATTTTATTCGTTATTTTTATACTGAAATTTTGAGGTTGATTTAACCAAAATTAATCATCAATTATTTACGTTTTGAGTAGGCTAATAAATAAAAATGGAAGGCATTACTTTAATAATCATAAACTACCGCAATCGATACTTTAATTAACAATGGTTTTAAACACTACATACAAGATCTAAGCCTATTTTACGACACCGGGGAATACATAAGCTGTGTTTTTAAAACATGCATTGAAGGAGGAAATTTATTACAATCCCACTTAATGTTTTGATAACGTGTGTATCTTGTTTATATCGATATTTAAGTTCCCCCAAGGCATAATTTTTTAGATATGCTAGATTATCTCGGGGTTATAAATAGCTTAAGATTCAGTGTGATAAGCGACTTAAGGCTTCAACGATATTGGCTATACTGTAGCACTTAAGCAGGATCACTGGACACAACTAAACAAATGAACACACTATACCTTTTTAAAACCCACCTACTTAATGTATAATAATTTATTTTTGAGTGTCAATGATAGAGCGTTTAAGCAAGTTAAACTTATTTCATACTCTAAATCTATAGCGCAGACTCCACAACATTCAATTAACAGCAATCAACACAGGCTCATTTCATTCATTTTGTAGTATTAATCTTTACAATGTTTTAATGTGGTGTAAGTACAGTGTTCAACATACAGGACCCTTATATACGAAAACATATTCAATTGATGTAATTTGTTCAGTATATTTTAAGTTGTATTTGAAAACTGGTTTTATTCTTTCTAGATACTGCATTTATGAATTAGGATCAATCAAACATAAAAGTCCAAACTAAAAGGTAAAGTAAATACAGTATAGGAATACTTCTGACTCAACCTTTCTTACAATAAAACCCATTTAATTTTAAGTGTATATACAGGGTGTTTCCAAATTTCCTGGACATATTTTGTAACTTGTTCCTTGGGCTAAAGCAAACATGAAATTCCGTATATGAATGGGTCTAAAATGCCTAGATTTTTGTCTGTCGGTTTTTTTGTTATTGTTTGATTATTTTGTGTTTCAGACATTTTTTATATAGAAACATCAAATTTAGTATACATTTGTAGATTAGAAGGTAAAAATAGCTTAAAAATCCTGTTCTGATATCTCAAGCAATTTCAATATAGTGGCCTTTTAAAACCTTTAAAACCAAATTTATGAAAACAGTAAATAAAAAAAAAATTGTATTCCTGATCAAAAAAAGAAGATTTAAATCCAAATCAAATGGGACTTTGTTTGTTAAAATTGGATGACAAACAACCAAATTATCATTTTTTTCTACATTCGGTTACGTAATTTAAAATGCTACCATACTGCCAATACTGATAGGCCAAGTGAAAAAATCCCCTTACGATAAAACATATAGCTTGCAAGATAACTAACGACTACTAACTAACTAGCAGGATATAAACCTTTCAAAACTATGTAAGAAACAGGTTTATTTAAACTTTTATAATCCCCATATTAATAAACAAGAATTAAACTAGAAATGTTAGACCTGGACACATCAAAGAAAAAAGCGACAGATTTTAATTCTTTGTTTTGCCCAGGTCCAACATTTATCCCAGGTTAAACACATTCTATTTCCACTTACTCCACTAAACCACAGACCTTCACCCCATTAACTACAAAGAGAGTTCCATAAGACACTGAAATTCGTTACTCGCCCGAATTTAAAGCTTTGACTGACATTATTACATATGTATTATTTATGGGAATGAATTTTGCATAATGTTTTGGTTTACTTAATTTTAGAAGTATTCTTTTTGGGTGCAAAATTTTGCGTCGACAATTTTTTTTTTATGACAATTTTGGACGTTATCAAATCTATGTGTTAAATTTACAATCATGGCACACTATATGAATAAACTCAATAAATGGACCAACGAATTGCAATGCAAATGCTAATTCGTAGAACAAGGTAATCCAAAATTAATTTTAGCGTATTTCCTTACAGAGAAATTAAACATAATGTTATTTAAATAGATTTAATTGATAATAAATTCAGGCAGATGGAAATTTGCTTAGTCGAAAGGTTTGCTGCGGCGGGAGGTATAAATATAATATAATAATACTAAGAGAAAACCCCCACCGTAGCTTGGGTCAAAATGCTATGCACAATAAAACACATTTGAAGCAACAACGTACTAACGTTTATTTTATTTGAAAATGTTTAAAGTCCCTTCATGTTAGCTGGGGTAGTGGTCCAGAACCTCCAATTCAGACTTTCCTTGGTTTTAACTACTTGTACTCACAGCTATAAATTAAGTATCAAAAAGTAAAATTTGTAAGTAGATACTGTTTACATCACACTTCCATTCATAAACTCCATCTTTTGCGAAAAATTTACTAAGAAAATTAAACTACTCTTTTGACGCTTGTAATCTCAATCAATATGAATACATCTAGCTCCTCGTCCGCTGGGTAGAAGATTTGACTATTTGGGGGCGCGTTGGGGATGCTGATACCGCTCGACGAGAAGCTGACGGAGGGTATTGTACGGAGGGTACTGACGGATGGGGGTCCATGGGATTGGTGTGGGTGTTGGTGGGCCGCTGGGTAGAAGATTTGACTATTTGGGGGCACGTTGGGGATGCTGATGCCGCTTGACGATAAACTGGCGGAGGGTATTGTACGGAGGGTACTGACGGATGGGGGTCCATGGGCTTGGTGTGGGTGTTGGTGGGCCGCTGGGTAGAAGATTCGACTATTTGGGGGCACGTTGGGGATGCTGATTCCGCTTGACGAGAAACTGACGGAGGGGCTTGGTGTGGGTGTTGGTGTTAGTGTCGTTGCAGGTGCAGGTGGGTCTCGGGGCGTAGACCGCTGTCTGGTGATCAGGACGTACTCCAGCGAGATTGAGCAGCCGGCAGCAAGGAGGCATAGAAACGGGTGGTCTCTGAAAATGTATTTATTTGTATAAAGGCAACCTTTTTTATTGATTCAATTACTAGATTTAACTGAGGGTGCATGTAAGGAGGGCATAGTTCAGCCAGGAACGAATGAACAGACTGCCACATAATATTCTCCAAATACCACTGAGGCTTTAATTATTTGATGAGTACAGACTATGAGTGCAAAATTGATCTTATAAAACCTTTTTAAAAATATTATCAAGTGCACTAAACTACAAGTATATAATACATGGAATCATGATTACTCATCCACAATCATAAGTAAATTCCATTAGAATTGAAACTTGTTTATGTTTAGTTAACAGTTGGTTCTAAGTCATTTTTACTGAATACAACTTACTAAAACACACAAACAAAGTTATCGTAACATCTTCACAAACACTATGTATAAGACAATATGGTACACTTAAATACAAAACTCTCTCTCTTCTCTTTGTTTTCTCAAGGAGAGGAAATTTCCAAATAAAGATATTCAGCAATCATATTTAATGAAACGACATAATTAAAATTTACATTATGATATTACTAAAAGCTTTACTCACCGAATTGAGTTAAAAACCATCATGAAACTCAAGTGGAAAATTAATTGATCTGATGGACAATCATACGGACATCGTTTTCATGTAGTTATACATCGATTGGTGTGGATGCATCCACCATAATTTACTATCATTTTTCCAATCACTATTTATGAACAAAACTTACTGTCACAAAACTCATTTTCAAGAGATCTTCAGGGGAGATATCATTGTAGGCTAGTAGCTTTTCAAGTAGTCTACATTTAAAAGAGTCAAAAATCTTTATTCACAGCAATCATAGCCTAGACCACGCCTTTAATGGAAATGAGCTTCGCGAACACATTTGACTTTCATGCTTGCAAATTAAACAGTATTTTAGAAGTTCTGTTGTTGCTTTCTTGATTCCGTTTCGAATTTCAAAATGTATTCCTCGGTTTGTAAAACTATTTTCTAACCCAAGTTTTTCTTAATACTAAGAATATATAAACTACAATAAGGAACAAAGCCACCTAAACTAGGATCAATATTTGAAATCGTTTATCAATTTCAATACGTAATGTTTATACAATAAACTTATTGTAAGAGGAATTTCGCTTCAGATTACTTCAGTTGCTAGATTTTACATAGGTCCAATATTATTTTGTGGACGAATTAAGAGTTCCTTAAAAAAGAAACTCATTACAAAGATTGAAATATTCAAAGGGTAAGTAATAATTAATCAAAAGATCTGCATCAGATCAGTAGTTTTCAAACCTTTCGAAGAGAAACTAATTGAAATTCTTTAAGTGTTTTCTTTTGGAATGATTGATTAAAATATTTTTAGAGTCAAGAGTATTTTAACTCAAAAAGGAGAGGTCCTCTGAGGGATCTTTCAAAAGTAAACAAACTTTAAAACTAAACTTTGTTTTTAATGTTAAAAACCTAACAAACTAAACAACTAAGTTATTAATACTCACACGGTGACTCGGTAACATACTTTATCATCTTGCAGCTAGGTTTATTAATATGTCTTAATTGTGGTACTCATTGAACATTTTATGTATTTAAAAATATTTATAAAATAGTAAATTTAGTATATTTCGATTGTTGCGCATGATATGATTATATTCATGAAGGATGCGTGGTCTGTCCAAGTAGACTGCCATTGAGAGAGCTCTGAGTAAATTTCCTTTTCCTTCTACAATCCTTCCAGGGAATTCGAATTCATCAAACCAATGCCAATTGTTTACTTTGGCACTCATAGACACTGCTCTGTTACGTGGACTGTACCATTTTGTGTGTTGAGAAACACCTACTACACTGTTAGGCTTTTCTTATATTCAAAATTCTCTAAATTAACCCCTACGCCAGTGTGCTATCGGGGTGTGTGGTGCTATGCTCAAGTTCCTGGTCCACATTTTGGTAATCTGTGATCATTGTTAATAATCTGTGAAGTGCGATTCGTTGCAAGTGACGGGCTTCTCCGTTCAAGATTTCAGTTCTTCTTATCTTCTCGTCTCTTCTCCGGACTTAATCCTTTAATCATCAACAAACAAAATCTTCCTATCCTAACCACTCTTAGGTTAGGTAAGGTTACAATTATAGGGTTTGGTTGTTATGCGTGTTCGGTATAATACCAAAGTACCAAATAAAACATTTCTCAGCTATTAATTTGAACTAATTTCATCTGGTTAACAATAAACAAAACAATTGTAGTTCCAGCAATATTTTATGTCTAAGGACGTTCACTAGAGATGGACAACTGCAATCGCAAGGACATTTGCCGGCTCGGTGACTTGGAAAACAAATACTTGGTCGTCTTGCTGTGAGATAGCTCACTATATCCTTGCTCTATACAGCAATGCTATGTACAGAAAAGTTTTTTATTTGTTTTAACATAACTTTTAATAAATATTGTGTGTAAAAGAACTAGTAGAATAAATTTAGTTCCTTGTCAGACAAAAAATATAATGCTTTTGTATTTATAGAAACAGACAAATTTATTTTTTATTAAATTCGTCATGTTTTATGTTTATACCTCATTTGTATTTTCAGAATTGAGTAAATGATTGAACTAGTTATTCAAATAAAATATCTAAAAAAAATATTAATTTACTTTTATTCAAACATGATAAGACAAAACAGGACAAAAACTGTTACGATGGATTAAGGAGCTTAGATGTTTCATCAGTTTTAGGCAAGGGCAATATCTTTAAGAAGATAAACCACGAAGTGAGTTGACTTTTTACCGTGAAAAGTATTTGCGTTGTTTCTCGACCTTCGCAGGTCATAACATTTCATTATTCTCAATTTCCATCAACCCCTGCTTAACTTAAGTGTTTTACTTTAATTCTACTTACAAACAATTAGTTTTACTATACCATGCACAAGATGAATCAAGAAGTACAAAATACAAAGTTGTTATAATTTAAATAATCGTTATTCTTTTAATTATTCACATTTACTTAATTGCACATAAAATTAAATAATTGATCCCTTATTTTCACTTTTTGTTTTAAATGGTTTATTATTTTTTATTGTTGTTTTTTATCAGAACATTTTCATGCTGCTATTCAGATAATTTATTCAAGCCATTCCACATGTAGCCTACTTAATCGTTCAAAATAACACGCTTACCACAAATGCACTTGGAAACTACCATAGTGACGACATTGGTAATGTCCACGAATTGTTTACAAAATAAGGAACCAGAAGTAAATATTTGACGCACTAAAGATAGGCCTGTCACTGAAAAATATTGCTAACAAATCAAAATTTAGCACCCAAATACACAAGAGAAAATAATAGGGTTGTAGTAAAACGTTTCAACAGCTTAAAACTTAAACAGAGATGCAGTAATCACAGAAGAAGAGCTCAGTGTTACATCAGATGCTGAAGACTCTAGGGACTGTAGTGAGTTTGCTCACTTCCTGGTTGTTTGGTAACTCTGATGATTATATACTCAACAGATTAACTGCAAACATCCTGAGAGTATTATTTAAACAGCCTTAGGAAGTACACAACTTGGTCAAAGGAATATTTTTTTACAGTTTTAGGAATATTAAACCTTTTTTGGTAGACAAATGTGTTTTTAAATCTTAAGTTTTTACATTGTAAATTTAAAAGGATTTTTTTAACATTCCACAACAATACACCATTCAAAATAGATATGACCTTAATCTAAATGTTGGGTATTTCAAGCTCTTACTTCTTAACAATATCCCTCGTAAAATCTTATATTGTAATTTCCACAGATATAATGCAAAGAGATAATTTTTCGTAAGACTTGGTATTGAACATAGCTAATATCAATTTACGTATTTTGTTAATCCAATTTTATCAATAAGTCTTGTTTAAAAAGATTTATCGTTTAGAATTTTTCAACAAAGTTTGAGTTAAATCGTGAACTTCACGAATATAAACGTTGGGTTATTGAATATATATTGAAAGAAGATATTAAAGAAGTTTCCCCCAACACGAGGCGAGCCTATGGCGACTGGCAATGCGGAAGTTAAACAAATATTTCTTTTGCTCAGTACACAAAATGTCTACATTATACTCCTACATAACGTTCTCTCTATATTTAAATATATTACATTTGTATTAAAAACAATGGAGTCCATTTTTAAAGATAAGGATCGAGAAGGACGAGTTTTGATTTAAATAGTATGATAGCCATGTTGAGGGAAGAGGCTGACTCTTAGTTCTGCACATTGAACATCACATTGTAAATTAGAAACTCTGGTTTCCTTTAAAGATGAATAAAACAGATATTTATTGACAAATGAAGACAAAATATATTACTTGTTTAGTGTTAAATGTACATAGATCTATTTACTAAGGATCAAAGATGATTAAGCTTTTTTTCAATTCCATTTTATTTGTTCCAAGTATAGTATCTTTTGTAACTACTATGATAGTTTTAACTTAAACGCTTTGGGGATTATGAATATCTACATAGTCTCAATTAAACCCTGTATTTACTCTGTATAAATTGGTTTAAGAAATTAAGGCAACTGTGCTTGGATTCCCTTGTAAATTAGATGGCATTCATTGTTTTAGCGACAATAAGGTAAATGGAGAATGATTAAAAACTATGTTCAGCAAACATTTAAAAATACATACATGTTTTCTTTGAACGATTTTTTATAAATTTATTTTTAACAACAATTTGACATTAGTAATTGAGAAGTGGTTTATGTATTATTAACTGCCTAAATATATTTCCCTTTTATTTGTATAAACACTTTAGAATAATACTGAATTATAATATTTTGGGTAGTTTCAGTATGCAAATATTAAGATACCATGTTTTATAATAAACGAGAATATATACATTTTTTATTTTTGTATAACCTAAAATATTTATTAAAATAATGTTTTCAATAAAAACAATTTTCCTAAGATATAGGGTAGTTAAAAGTACCGTAGTGTTTAAGTTGTCATCAAAATATTAAGTAAACGGATTAGGTTTGCAGATCAGACGT